AGATGATAAGAAAAGTTTTATGATTTGATCACGGTAGTAACTACTTTCAGGCCAAAGAAAAAGAGTGTTCAAATACCAGTATTTCTCCCAAGTTGTTCACCAAATGAAATGACAAGAATCGCAGAAGCCAAGAAAATGTAAATGCTGGGTGCCAGAATCCTGTACAGACCACAGTTGGGTCGTCAGGAATAACCAATAGGGGAAGCCTAAAAATGTAATCATAATAATTTTGCAAGTATTGAACATCGAAGAAAAGATAATGAGACTATGAGGAATTCTTTTAAGATCAGCAAAGGCCGAAAGCATATTATAGCATGCACCTGAAGCCTGCTTTAAAGCCACCAGTCCAATCTTCCTTGTAACACATCAATCTCCATCTGAGGTCATTTTTGATTCCTCGGAAAGGCGCCTATGTCTCCTCCATGGTTAGTTTTGTCTATCTGAAACTCTGAACAGTTGGTTTTAATTCCCTCTTAATTTGAATAATCTTCTAAGGGAAAGAAAAAGACTGAAACACTCTTGACAATGATCAGGAATAAATGCTATCGGAAAGATCGGGCTGTTAAATGATCCAGCAAGGAGATTCTCGTTGGAAAGAAATGAGAGTCAAACGCACATACGATCAAGAAAATTACATGACTTGGGAGTTCGAAACTATAGATAAAATCTTTAGCGAAGATAGATAATGTTCATGTTATAGAACTTTTTCTCCAGGAAAAGATCAGAAGAGAAAATCAAAGGTGACGGATCAGACTATGAGTTAAAGATATGAATTCAAGCTTCAAGAGAGACACCAAATTACATGTGTGTTTGAGAAGACCGAAAGATAGAAAGGAAAAGGCACCGTATTGCAAAGTTTTTTTTTTTTTTTCATCGTGTTTGAGGAAGAGAAAATTGATGGTTTGATTAACAAAAGAAGGCACTGCTAGCTTTTGAATTGCTTGTTGATGCAATGCATTGGCGTAGAAGGAGTAGTGGAAGGATACAAGTATATAGGCTGCTTGAAAGGTGAGGTAGATTAGGTGCAGACAACCACGGGGGTCAAAAGGAATGAGAGAGTGAACTTCACTGTTATTCTTTGGAGGGGATGCTAATCCTCTGCTACTCAGAGGTACCCCATCCTTGTGCCTCCTTATTTTGATTGGACCATGTCATCTCTCGTTGGACCTATTAGTTATTGGGTTTGAAACCCGATGCTAAGTTTTAAATAAGAACGAGAAAAGGTTAAGAGCACAAGAACAACAAGAAATATGCGGTTTGATCGTGGGATCCACATTCATGAGAGAAGAATCCAAAGAGTTACATTATTAATATTCTAATTTATACGAAAGAATACATAGAATCCTTATTTATATAGGTACTATAGATAATATATGAAAAATAATAATGAGAGAATTATTAAAGATTATAATTTATTATAATTTATTCTAAATATATTTTTTAAATGAGATAATATTATAAATAATCCATGAGTTATAGTGAAATATTTAATATATAACCTAAATTTTAAAATTTTTTAATTTAGTATCTAAACTATAAATTTGTTAATTAATATAATATTTGAAAGGTTATTTGTGTGTTACATATCATTATCTGAAGTTGGCCATATTAGGGTTAAGTATTACATTAGTTAACAAATTTATAATTCAAATACTAAAATTTGAATATCATATTGAACATTTCATTATAGTTTAAGAATCATTTATAACATTAACATTTTCTGAATCAATAATTATTAGAATTATATTATAATTGTTTTCAGAGAATTCTTAGGAATACTTCCCAATATACTCCTTCAAGTTGGCACACAAAAAATTAATTAGAAAAGCCAACTTGAAGAAATTTGCAAAAGTCGAGACCCAATGGATTTTTATAAGAATGATTGTCGAAGAAAGAAAGCTCATAAAAAATAAGCTCCACTTGTTTTAATTTGAAAAGGGGGAGTAGATGTTGAACCTTTGTAAGAGCTATCCTACAAAATAAATATGAATTCCTTATATTGGATGGTTGAAGGCTAAATCATGATCAAGACCTAAAACTCACAATTTAAAAAGATAAAATCCATTAATGAATATCGAGAAAGGTAATATGTATGTCAATGAAATATAGTACATTGAAAAGCTTAAAACTTAATAAAGATGAAAAACACAATGAGAATTGCAAGGATTAAGGGACTATGAGTGTAGAAGAGGATTAGATTATTGTGTTTGGTGTTTGAAGATGGGTGTTACCCATTAGAGAAAAAGAATAAGCAAAAGAAATGAACAAAAAAGGTCATAAAAAGAAGAAAAGAAAGAATGAAAATTATACTTGTTGGAGTTTGTTGGATAACATTTTAGGTTTTAAATAAGAATGAGAAAAGGCAAGAAGATGATAACATAAAAAAAAAAAATGGTTAGGCCATGGTGACCTACATTCAAAGTGCTTTAAATAAGAGAATGTTTTTCTTGACATAGGTTTGCCTCTAGCCTAGATCAACCTAAGTTAATGGAGTCTCTATCATCCTGATTAAAAAATAAGCATGAAACTTCATACACCTTAAGATTCATAAGATGAAAAGAGAATTTTTGAGATCTTTATACTCATTATGCCTAGTATTGAATTGAATGGATATTTGCCCTATCAATATCTTAAATAGTGATAGGTTCGATTCGGATCCTTTTTCTACCTAAATGGTTGGTTATGAGTAAGGTTAATGGGGCTTAAAGAATGGTGTTGTGCCTCAAAGAGTGACTTCTTACCTGTCACTCGATCTTTTTCTTTCTTTGAGTTTAACCTCTTAGACAACCTTTTTTTGGGAACCTCTATTGCTTGACCTTGCAGCCTTGATGATTGCTTACTATAATTATCAATGATTTACTATTATGTTATTATATATTTACTATTACATTATTATTGATTTAGTATTAAGTTTTCAATTATTTATTACAAAATTATCATTGTTTACTATTAAGTTTACCAATGATTAATTGATAAATTACTTAGCAATATAAATCATAAATAGCATAGTAGTAGATATATAAATGTTAACTTAGTATTAAATACTTGATAATTTGTAGTTAATCATTAAGTTATCAATTATTACTTATTGACTATTATATTATTGATAAATTATTACTATAAGTTATACTGATTTATTTTTAAGATTTCAATAATTGACCACTAAGTTATTAATTATTTACTTCTAAATTATTATTGATTTGTTTACTATTAAGTTATTTATGATTTATGCTATTAAATAATTTATCAATTAATTAATATTAAATTAAAATTAATTTAATATTAAGTTATTACTAATTTGTTGTTAAATTATCATTAATTTGTTATTAAATTATCAATAATTAATTATTAATTAGTACTTATTTTTTATTAAGTTACCTAGCATTTACTACTATGTTGTTATCGATACTCAATTCTTTTGCAAAGCTTCCCAGTATTTAGTCGTGCTAATCCTCTACACAAATTGTTTATCTTCACTTGTAGCCATCTTTTTACACTCATGCAGTAGTAATGGCGGCTAGCAGATGATTTGAATCCAATCAAAGGAATGTCTTTCCAACGGATGGCCTTGGCGACTAAGCTTAATAATATTAGTTCAACTTTCCTTTTATGCGCTTCTTTTTCATTTATGTAATATGTAGCCCACCTATATAATGGCTTTCGAGGCTTCAACTCCAAAAGTTAACTTAAAAGCTGAAACTAATATTGTAGCATTAATTGTAAGGATCTACTGTACAGAGCCCTAAAGCCACTTTCCTTTATTTATTTATTTATTTTGTTGTTCAACAACCAACCATGGCTTCTATAACAAAACCAAACTTGCTTACTCCTTTTTATTCTTCTTATCATTACAAGGATTATCCTCTTATTTCTAGTTCTATGCTTGCCAGGTTTAGAGATTCTCATTTATCTAACTGTAACGTCACCTTGAAACGCTCAAGAAACACTTCACTTTTTCCTATATCAGAGCCTTAAACTCTCATAGTATGGATGGATAGCTAACCAAGCATCATCATAACTTTATGAGTTTTTTTTTTTTTTGCAATACTTTTTTTTCTTCAACGAAGTATGAAATAGGTGCCTCTAAATTTTATTGAGTTTTATGTTTCCACTGCTAGTAGATTATATCCTTGATGTAAAATTTTATAAAGTAAAAGTGATTCTCAAATGCTTTTCATTATTCTTTTTGTTTTTTCATTTTGAGAGCGTGGGACTTAATAAGTTTGTCAATTTAGCATATCTAATTCTATTTTGGAACTTCATAATTATGTATACATTATAATTATAACCAGATTTTGCTTTGGATTACTATCCTTTTAGTATATAGTACTAATACTTTTTACAATATATGTAACAAATGCTACTTAAAATTTGCACCTTTGGTCTGCTTTTTAGTATACTAGTAGTTATTTCAGGCATTACTTTTGCTAAATCTTGTTCAGGTTTAACCTTAAATCATAAACCTCATTATGGTATTGAGGAATTCTTTCGGTACTATTCCAAGTCAAGGCAATGCTTTTGTAGAAGAGTTGGCCTATATTGGCAAAGAGATAGTTCATAAGATAGAGGTTGGAATAATTTTACTATGATAGCATAAGATGAGGATGGGGGAGCATGCTTCAATTGGAATTGGGACGATTTTGGACTCAAAGATGATAAAAACCAAAGTATCACAAAATGGTTAATTCCTCAAATAACTCGCACTTGATCTTCCTTTTCATTTGTCCAAAATAGTCTGGTCAAGTTTCGATATGCATTATCATTGTTCCAAAGATGAGCTAATTAGACTTAATAAGTGTGTAGTGGTTGATATTGAAGAGATTTGGTTTTGTCCAAACAACAGATTCTTTATGAAACAATAATACTTGTCATAGTCTTGAAGCTTAAAGCCTGTTTTTATTTCTCCTAAAGCCCCTTTATGTTACTTAGGAGATAGGTAAACCCTTGATGGTGTTTGATTTGAATTTTGGTTTTAATTTTGAAAAAAGTAAAAGGCTTTTATGAAAATGGGTATTTGTGGTGTTATGGTTTCTAATGTTCCAGGCTTCAGTTCTCAAGGAGGTTTAATAGAGAGACGTGGTGGTAAACTTTTATCATGCACAAGGGACTGAAGGTTTACCTATCTCTTCTTTATTTTAATTTTTCCCTTCATCAATTTATTATTTATTAGGTGGCGATAAGATTAAGAAATTTAGCAGATTTTTAGTTAATTTACCTTATTCAATTTCTCTAACCTTTTTTAAGCAAACTTCAGTTTATTGATATTCATTTTTTTAACTAAATTTTCTTCATGTTTATTATTCTGTAAGCTCTGAATTTTCTAAATACAAGTTCATTGCTAAAGTTAAGATGGAGATTACGGTGAGCAAGGACCAGGCATATACATATATAATCTAAAAAGCCATTTGTCCTGAATATTATAATGTATAAGTCCATAACCCATTATTAGACATAATTTTAGAAGTTGTTACTAATATTTTTTTAGTTATTTGTGATTGATCACTTAATTGAATTTGTTTATTTTTAAAGAGAAATCCAAGCTTAACTTAGGTTTATTAAAAACTTATATTCTAGTTTACAATACTAAAATTAGGCTACAAGGAGGATTATAGCACCCTTACGCCTATTCAAAGAATGCTACTAGTTGATTTTGTATTATCAAAAGCCTAAAAAATCTTATTAGATAATTAATTATTGAAAATTATCCTTAAATTACTTTAATATGTTGGTAATAATTTCATAACATTCTCTCATATCAAGAGTATTCAATGAGACTATTTGTCATACTTGAAAAGACTTTATTGTTGAATTCATTTAATTTTTATACTAAAACCTTTATTCATGACAAATGATAATTTTTGTGAGAATCTTGATGTTAAAAATATTTTTTAAATTCTCCAATATGTTAGTAAAATTTAAAAAGAATTTACATAAAAATTACTATTTGTAACGTTCTTAGTAATTCCATAATCGAAAATTCAAAATCAATTTTTATTTTCAGAAAATATCTTCAAATATGTTTGTAAGATTTTTTGTCCAAAAAAATCCTCAAATATATTGGTAGAATTTTATGCAAATTAATTTTCTTTCCAAAAAATATTATTTTTTTAAAATTATTTAATTTTTTTAAAATTAATTAGATTTTTCAATATATTAGTAAAATCTTATTTTTAGACATTTTAAAAATTACAAAACTCTCCGATTGGTAAAATTTTTATTTTTGTCTTTTTTTTTTTAATTCTTTTCAATACATTTAATCTTCTAATGTGTTAGTCAAGTTTTATTTTTTTAAAAATTCTTTTCTAAATTTTAAACATTTCATTATGTTGATAAAATTTTTTTTATTTAATTTTTACAAAATTATTTTTCAAAATTTCAAAGCTTCTAATATATTGATAAGGTTTTTTTTTTTTTTTTTTTTTACAAAAAAAATTGTTTCTAAATTTCATACCTTTCAATATGTTGGTAGAATTTATTTCAAAATTAAATTCCAAAGGAAAAAAAAAACTAAATTTAAAACCATTCTTAATTTTATTTCTTTTTAAATAATTAAACTTTTAAAAATATTTCTAATTTAAAAGGGAAAAAAATCAAATGAAATAAACAAAAAAAAAAATTAGAAATAAAAAATAGTAAAATCTGAGAAAGTAAACTTGCCAACAAGTTAAGCCGATGGATCAGTTCGAGTGATTCACCGGTTCAATCTAGTTCATATTGGTTCGGTTCACTTCTCTTTTAATTAAAACGACATAGTTTTGATGGATCTAAAGCAAAAATCAAATTTTTCTTAATTTTCCTTTGTTCTTTTTCTCTATTCTCCCTTTTCCTACTAGAGCTTCTCTCTTTTCGAATTCTCGGCTGCCGTCAGTTGCCGTAATCCTCCACTGGTCAGAGTCTATTCAAGCCTAAAATTTCACCATTGTTTCCTTTTGGCCTCCTCGCTTCAGATCCGAGCTCGGATTTTTGAAAATCATCCTCCAATGGCCTAGATCTGAAGCTAAAGTTGAGGCTCTTCCACTGCCATTTTAGCCTCTTCGCATTGTTCGATTTAGCTGAAATTTGTTATTTTCCTCCCCGTATTCTTCCCTCTCATCGCGCGGATTTCCAAAAGCTCATATTGCTATCGTCGACCACCATCGTTGTCATCACTCCTACCACTGGCGTTAGTGGGTTTTTCACTATTTCCCTCTCTTACACTTACTTAGAATCCCGAAAAGGCCCATAAACTCACAATCCCGAACTCTAAATGATCATTTCCAAAAACTTTTCTTTCTACTTGCATATGTCTTTGTTTCTTACTCTGTGTTATTATTCTTTGTTTCTTGCTTTGTGTGTGGCCTTTGCTGCTGTTTTTTGTGCCTAGTGCATGGTTGTTGGTAAGCAGTATGATTTAAGTGGGCGACGTCAGAAAGCAGTACGATTTTGACTGGTTCTATTCTAGCAATAAGATAGAATGTGGTTATTGTAGTCAATAATGATGATGGATCTCGCTAGTAGTTGTAAAAGGGCTTGACTAATAAAGACGCAAGAGGCTCAACCAATAAGAACGGGGAATTTTTAGTGTGAATGAGGTACGGACTTTGATTGGGTTTAATTTGTAAATTGAGAGGTTTGTGTGAAGGAAGGTTAGAACAGCAGTAAGTTAAGCTTCAACTGTTTGCTAATGGTTGCTGCCTCCCCTTCAATTTGATGTTGATTGTGTTTTCTTATATGCATGGAATTTTAGTTGGGATAGATCTCTAAAAGAGTTTGTATTATGATAAGGAATTTCATCGTTTAAGAGATTCAATCCAAAAATAACTTTATCATTGAAGAAATTTGGTCCAAATCTTTTTAGATTTTTCTCAAGATTTTTTTAAACTTTAAACTTTCATTTTTTAAAAATTCCTTAGAACGAAATAAAATAAAAATGAAAAAAATAAAATAAAGACTCACACTTCATTGGGCTCATACCCAAACTAAAATCTTAATAAACAATTCAATTTGGGTTTCAAAGCCCGCATCAAGCATCAAGCCCATAACTTGAATGCAAATTAAGATCCAAAAATAAAGATGTAAAAATTTAAATTAAAAATTTTTTGAATAAAATGAAGTGTAAATATGAATGATTTGACAGTATATTGATAATTTCACATAATGTTCATTTATAAATGATTATCCTGCTAAAGGTGGAAGCCATAATAGGTAAGATAGTTGAGGAAGCGAAGGTTGGAGAGATTGGAGTTGGCAAGATTTTTGGTAAGAATTCAAACTGTTTATTGTCCATATCCAATAATGAAATCCTTTAATTTCTTTTATGCTGAATTTTATGGATCTGAACTGTCAGGGTAAAGTGCAAAACCTGTTTAATGAAAATTTAGCCGAGTAAGTTTTGTTTGCAACTCTTTGTCTTTCTTTCATGAAGGGAAAGTTGTTTTATCACTAGAGACAAGTGAGAAGACATTTGGTGGCATAGGGAACAAGGATCAAATTCTCCATGTTTGTGCTGACATTTGGCTAAATGAGAATATTGATTGAATTCTGCATGACTAAGTCTAAATATCAGATCAACTGGCAGCTCATGATAACTACCATTTGTTGAACTCTTTTTACTGCGGGACCTCATTGACTACATCATTATGAAATTGGCTTATGCTGCATCCTATCCACATATGCATGAGTGAAATTGTTAGTAAGAGTCCAGAGTGATCTGATTTTCATGCCAGTATATGAAGAATTAAACTGTTGTTATTGTTGATTAATACTACCTATTTTAATTGGTGATCAAACTCCTGATGATGTTCACTGGTTCTATAATGGTTCCTGTCTCTGATGTCATAAGAGTTCGCACAGGTAACACTAATATAACCATTCAAGATTAGAGTAACTCATCATTTCTTTGCTCGAGCAATTGCTCATGAAGGATGCGTTCCTCTTCAAGAGTACCTTAGTAATTGTAGACACAATTTTCAGGTGAACATGGAGAGAAAACTGAGAGGATGATAGGAGGATGCGCTGATATGTTAGCCACTTCATCTACCTAAGTTGCTATATTAGCACCGTTGATTACCAGTAAAACCTGTGTTGCACAGCCTACTTTAATCATACCGGCTGCTACTTGTTATAGACACATAAGGTTAGGATCAGAGATTTAAATTACAGTCGTATTTTTTGTCACATCAAGTTTATCATATTTTTGAATATAACGGAAATTATTATGATCATTGCATGTCGTGATTTTTTTTTAAATTTTGCACAATTTATTATAAAATATAATAATTATAATTATAATCATAAAAATTTTATTTTATTATTTTAAAAATAGTTTAAGACATTTTATTTTTTTATTTTTTAAAAAAATTATTCACAATTTCATTTAGATTATAACAAAATAGTCATATTTGGTTTAGTAACAAATCTTTACTTGAACTAAGTTCATATTCAATATTAACTCCAAAAAAATAAAAAATTAACAAAACATAATAGGTTAAATGCCAAGATCTATATTTAACAATATTACAAACTTAAAACTATAATAATTTTAAATTTCATCATTTATAATTATTAATATATACTTCAAATTTTACCATATGGTAGAATGACGAGGAGTATATATTTGAGGCTGATACACTTATTTTATTAATATACTAAAAAGATTTTTTTAAAAATTTTTTAAAACATAATATGTTAAATGCCAAGTTGACTTCATCCCCATCTCTATGGTCTTTGCTTTTTATACATTTATGGGGGATATATTTGTGGTAAAGGATACATTTAAGATGGATGAGACATTAGAGGTGGAGGAGACAAGAGAGGTGGAGGATTGGATAATAACATATGAAGGTAGATAACCATAAGAAGTTTGAAAATTAGGTAGTTTCAATGGATAATAATGTCCTTAAGTATTAGTAGATAATTTATTATACTCAAAGTTACTAGAATTTGATCTCATACCTAAATATGAAGAACGTTTAAAATGTCATAGTGGTGTTTCTTGGCTTTTCCTTTTGATCGAGATGTTTGTGCACTTTTATCTCCACTAGATTCAGTAGATGGATTTACTTTATATTCTATCATGTTAATAAAAAGTCCACTAGTAACAGCAAGCCCGAATTCTCCTCCAAATGGGTTGTAAGGTCCATTTGCACCTATATCGCTATCAAATTCGCACCATCACCACACCATCATGTGAACTTAAACCTCTTGGTGTTGCACTTGAACTTAAATGAGACATATTTCTTTTTTGAGATTGACGTGATTGTTTAACATTTATTTCATTATCAAAATTATCCATAAGCAACCAATCAGAGTTTTGACCATCTGACAAAGGATTTTCTTTTTTTTATAGCCATTCTGTTAGTGGATCATCCTCTTCAAAAATGTGGTTTAGGCTAATAGGATTAAAACTATTATTTATCTTGTTAATGCTCATTTCTTTTGAAGTCTCATTTTTAGTGTCATGTTGTAATAGGTATATACTAGTTTCTGAAGTCTTTCAAAGTTCAATATATTTCTTACCTTGGTGTGAATATAACTAAATGTGTTTCAATTTCGTTTACATTTTAATGCTGAGGTTGTTTGAGTAAGCACTTTAACTACTAGTTTTTACAATTTAGGAACACAAGTGCCATATATCATCAACCACTTAGCTATATAAATTATTTAAATTAAAATTGAATGTGCTATATAATTAAATAATATAAAATAAATTATAATTATTTAATTTACTATTTACTTGAATTCATTTGTTTTCAAGCTCTTTATGCTTGTGGAGTACCAAATGTTTAATGCTTATGTTGAAATAATAGCAATTACAACGATAGAAAATACAATAATAAATTGATAAATAAAAATAATTTTATTTTTAATACATAAAATAAATGTCAAAGTTATAAAATAGTATTAAACACTAATATGATTAATCATTCTGATTTGAGTATTTATAGAAGATTCTAATCTTTCAATCACTATTCTTGTACATTTTAATGTTTATTTAGATACATTTATAGAATGCCCTACTCCAAATTAAAATTGTAGATAGACGTACTAACCTAAACATAATGCTTAACAATAATATCTTAAAGTAATAAAAAATAAATATATAAGTAATTTAAGTGTAAAAAATAAAGGTATTTTAAAATACAATCCACGTTCTTGTTTTACTTACCAATTGAATGCAACTCAAAATGTATGAAACTCTATCTACTACAATAATCTTTTCATATTCAACAAAATAATGATAATTTTATTGAATTGCTTGTTTAACTCTATCCATAGCCTTGTAAATAAATCCCATTATTGATTTCCATTACCATCCATAAAGTGCAACACTTTTACTAAAGGCTTATAAACTTTTATTATATCACTTGCTTTTTTCCGAAAATCTTTTCTCAAAATAAATTTTTTTACTTCATAAGCAGGCCTTAATTTTTATTGTCCTCATTTTGATTCTTTAAATTCTTATATATTTATCAATGAATTTTTAGAGTAATATTTTTTAACTTAATATTTTAAACAATGATATCACAAAAAAATGTTAAATTTAAATAGTTATACTAATTACTAAGTATTAACCTTAGAATTGAACATCTCTCTCAAACTTTACTTTTGCCTTATTATTTCTTCTAATTGTATGAAATAAGTGGCAAATCAAGTAAAAGCAAGATAAAGTATTTGCTTCCCTTATGCATACTTCTTCACCAAATCAATAATCTAAATGTGATTATATATAAAACAAGTCACTTTTCCACATCATCCAAAACCTTTGTCGCATTTTTTTTCTTGCCAATATCTTCAAGGCACATATCCAAACAATGAGCTAAACATACTGTCCAATACAAATGCTGTCTTTTCTCCATTAGTTTTTTTTCCAGCAGCCTTAAATACTATCTCATTATTAGTGATTATTTAAACAATATACTTTTCTCAATTTCTTTCACAGCTTCATCCAATAATCTATAATAAAGTTTGCATCTCTAGTACGAACACTTAAGACATTTATAGATTTTCAAAAAATAGTCCTTTTACTACAATAGACAAGGAAATTAATGATGTGCATTTGATTCAAACTATTAGTCCAACCATCACACATCAAAGAAGCACCTAATTCATTCCTATGTGCCTTTAATCCATTAACTCATTCATGGACTTGTTGATACTCAAACTCTAAATACACATCTGAAATCTCAAAGGTACTGGAAGTTTTACATGTTGGTCAATTTTTGTTGTCACAAAAAGTAAAGTAGGCAACCATAGAGAGTTTGCTAATTGAAAAAGAAATTGACTATATATAAAAAAATTTTGATGCCGATTCACCCATCTTCCTTTATTATGTCTTTAAAAATGAATCACTTATCTTTAATTGCTTTCAACTTTTACTTTTAACCAATTCAAGTATAGTTCTCATTAATGAAAATTCGACTCACTTAGAGTTGACTTTTTTTTCTTTTTTCATAAAATTCAACAACTAATTCATAAGAGCTCTATCCTTCTTCATATATGTTACTCCAACCATCGGTTCTTTGTCTAAATTCTTGCCTTCTGTGCTATTCATGTTATGATTGGATATTATCTCACATGGCTTGCCCAGTGACGATGTATTTATTAATAAGTCCTTCATAGTCATAGACTTCCCCTCTTAATTAGAATAAGAATTCATTTTTTCTCCATTTGTTGTCAATATTCTTTGATTTGTTTTCTTGAAAGAGTTTATTCATACTTTTTCTTACCACACTTATTAATAATATAGTTAAGAAAAAAAGAAAAAATTAGTTGCACATGCTTATGTAATTTTATAAATTTTATTAAAAAATTAACAATAATATTTTTAAATGAATTATAAAAACATAATATATCAGTAACATTAGGGCATGGTACAACATTACCAGTTTTATGAGCAAGATATTCCTTGAAATGTGTATTTGATTTCTAGTACAAATACTTGAGACATCTATAGATCTCCAAAAAAGAGTCATTTTACTATAATGGACAAGGAAATTAATTATGTGCATTCGATTCAAACTATTAGTCCAACTTTCACACATTAAAGTGGCACCAAATTCATTCCTAGGTGCCTTTAATTCAGTAATCCATTTATGGACTTGTTGATATTCAAACTCTAATATACATCTAAAACCTTAAAAGTATTAGAAATTTTACAGGTTAGCCAACTTCTGATACCACAAAAAGTGAACTATGCAACCGTGAAGAGTTTGCTAACTGAAAAAGAAGTCGATCATATATAAAAAGTTTTGATGTTGATTCACCTATCTTCCTTTTAATGTTTTTAAAAATGAATCACTTATTTTTAGTTGCTTTAAACTCTTATTTCTAACCAAGTCAAGTATAACTCTCCTTAATAAAAATTCAAACTCACTTAGAGTTGATTTTCTTATTCTTTCATAAAATTCAGCAACTGAGCCATGAGAGTTTCATCATTCTCCATATATATTACTCCGACAACTAGTTCTCTGTCTAAATTCTTGTCTTTTATGCCATTCATGTTGTGATTGATTATTATCTCGCATGGTTTGCCCAGTAACGATGTCTTTATTAATAAATCCTTCATAATCATACTCTTTTCCTCTTAATTAGAAAAAGAATTCATTTTTTCTCCTTTTGTTGTCAACTTTCTTTTATTTGTTTTCTTCAAAAAGTTTCATCATACTTTCTCTTACCATATCTAGTAATAATATAGTTTAAAAAAGAAAAAAAATAGTTGCACATGCTTATGTAATTTTATAAATTTTATTGAGAAATTAACAATAATATTTTCAAAAGAATTATAAAAGCATAATATACTAATAACTTTGGGGCATGGTACAATATTACTAGTTTTATGAGCAGTGTGTTCATTGAAATGTGTTATTCCTTATTTTACAACTTTGTCACAAAGTTCACATGAAACATATTTTTTTTTTTTGGTATTTGGCATAGGTATACAATATCATCACTTGGCACGCCTTTTATTCCGTTACTCTAGAACTCTTCATGTGATGGCATGCTTGCTATTTTGTATAAAAACAAAATAAACTTATATTTAAAA